CCTCCTTTCCTTCTTCCCTTCTTCTCCCTCTTCTTTTCTTTCATCCTTCTGTTCTTTGGCAGGGATAGGGCTGGTTTTGGGGGATGGAGTCTTGCTGTGTTGCCCAAGCTGGTCTAGAACTCCTAGGCTGAAGGGATCAAGGGATTCTCTTACCTTGGCCTCCCAGGTCCATGCCGTTGTGCTAGGCTGTGTCTTCTTCTATGGCCACCCAGACACTTCCACATTCAGTTTTGCAGTTTTCTTTTTGGCATCTACTTTTAAGTCCTTTGAATGGTTTTACTTCCTCTGAATGATGTTATCTTCCTATCTCCACCCATGAGATCCACATGACTGATCTATTTAACTTGCTACGATAAAATTCCACTTCCTCTTCTGCTCTAGACTTCTGTAATGTATTACTTTTCAGACTTTAGGGTTTTATTAATATTAATTTAAAACACAGGGGAAAACATTCCTGAAATTGATAATGGTTAGCAACAAAAAATGATATGTCCTCCCAGTCCCATCATAGAATATCACTGTCTTTGCATACAAGAAATAGTTTAATCCTGAAAAAGATTAAAAAGGACATAATTTCATAATTTCCTTCCAATCCAGCACTTGGGAGGCTGAGGCAGGATGTTGCTGAGGGTTCAAAGCGAGCTTGGGCTAAATAGTGAGTTCAAAGCCAGCCTGGACCATGTAGTAAGACTCTGTCTCAAAAATAAATAAGTAAGTAAATAAATAAAATGAAAATATTGCTGCCTGTGACAGTTATCTTCAGTCACTAGTAAGTCAGATTTCTTCTGGTTGTGTAATTTGTTCTCATATGTATCAACTAAAATGTGGAGTTGCTGAATGACAACAAACCCTACGTCAGGCCTCAGAACACACTCCAGGCAAGTGCATCAATCATTAGCAAAGCAAGGTCTGCAGATTTCCCAAATCTTTAGCCGAGTCACCAGCCAGGGGCGGGGGTCTCCCTGGATTGGAGGACAGTATTCTATGCACCTCTGGTAGTCAGGGGATCCTTTTTTTTTTTTTTTTGTCTTTATTTTGAGACAAGGTCTCACTATGTAGTTCAGCCTGCCTTGAGCTCACTTTGTAGCCCAGGCTGGCCTCAAACTCACAATGATCCTCCTACCTCAGCTTCATGAGTGCTAGGATTACAGGTGTGTGCCACCACACCGGCATGGATCCTTTGTATTCTACCTAGGAAGGAAGGAATTATTCCTGCAAAAGTGTCACGATGGCATTGTCTTTCCTCCTCAACCCCACTGAAGAGTAAGATTTAGTAGGATGGTGACTAAGACCTTTCTAGTATAACACTGAAGTCATGCTATGAAAAATAGTCAATATTAGCAAGAGAAGAGACAGTTTATCTGGAGATATTTTTCCAGGATTGGGTTGTAATTGACCTTCAAAATCTCAAGTGTCTTGCTAGTTTCTGCAAGATAGACCAGGACATTGAGGGAAGACAAAAGCAGGGAGGAGCCGGGCATGGTGGCACACGCCTGTAATCCCAGGAGGCTGAGGCAGTAGGCTGAGGCAGTAGGCTGAGGCAGGAGAATCCCAATGAGTTTGAGATCAGCCTGGGCTATGTAGTGAGTTTAAGGTCAGCCTGAACTACATAGCAAGACTCTGTCTCAAAACACAACTCAACACAACAAAACAAAACAAAGCAAAACAACAAACAAAAAACCCAACCCCCAAAACTTGAGGGAGAACAGAAAAAGTGACTTTTAGCATCCCATCCAAGGAGGACTCTGAATGAACTGAAAAGTCACATGATGAGAAAAGTATTGTTTTGCACCTTTCATCGGGCATTCTGGTTGTTACCACTTAACAGTTTTAGTTTCTCTCTGGTCATGACATACCTGCTGTTGTGGGCTTATATAGTGCTGTGTCTGAGTGGAGAGAGCTGGTCGTTGGGATTTCACAACCCTTTTGGTAATGAAACCAGATGGCATTTTCGCCTCACATAGGAAGAAGTCAAATTGAGCACACTGCCTGGTAGTCACTGAGCAGTGCAGCACCTCCCAGGTTGTAAGTTGACTCACAGTCTTTATATTTATTTGTAGGAGCTCTCCTTTTAAATTACTGAGTGACACGATAGCTAATTATACTGCTGATTTCTACTGGTCTGTTGAAAGAACAGTTAATGCTTACATTTTTTTCTTCTTTTTAATTTTTCTGAAAAATTTTGGGTGCATATATCTGGTAATCTGAACAACTAATCTGAAGTCAACAATATGCAATATAATGCTCAATTCCTATCATCTTGTTTAGTGAACTTCTGTATTGTTTTTAATGTTTTCTAAATTTTTAAAATTCTCTTTAAAATAAAAAAATAAAAAAATTAAATTACTAGGGGTTGTGGTTTAGAATTCAAATGGCCCTAAAAGTCGCACGAACTAAATCACGTGCCTGGACTGTGCTATTCCCATCAGTGGGCTCAGGGACTCGCCACCGAAGAATTCAGTAGCTGAATGTCCTGTCCGACAGTGGGGCCGGACCCTGAAGGGTGCATTCTTGTCCCTGGCTCCTTCCTTTTCTCTGCTGCCTGGCTCCTCCTCTGCCATTGTTTCTGCTTTGAAGTCAGCTGAGCCTGGACCAAAACAGTGACCAAAAAGAACCTCTCCTCCTTAAGTTGTGGATGTTGTTCATTTTGTCCCACCAGTGAGAAAGTGAGCAAGACAATAGGCCTCTGAGGAGACTCCCTAGAGCTTGAATTCTCACCGTAAACCCTTAGAGGCCACCAGGAATGGTGCCAAGTGGCTGGTACGTTCAGCCTGCTTCTGTGTCCCAGCCATGGGAACATTCGGAATGCCTGTTAGGTGGAGCGTGTGTGTCTTTGTACTTGCACAGTGGCCCGTGTCCAGCTTGCAGACCCAGTGATTGAGCACACACACTCTGAGTGACCTTCCTCAGATGTTTACACCTGCTCCTGGGGAGCGTGTTTGCACCCTGTTGGGTTTGGGAAAATCTGATCAGCATGTGGTGTGCCTCTCACAGAGAAGCGACCCAGGGTATTCGGGATGAACTTTGGAGACAAGCCCTACTACTTCCTAAGAGTTTCGGGTTGAGGATTAGAGACTTACAGCCTCTTAGATCAGTGCCTGCAGATGCTGGCCATCAGGACCTCTTTTAGAATGCATTTAAATGCAGATTAAGCCAGATATTCTGAATACATTCAAGAATTTATATTTTAAATAAATGCCTCCGAGGCTGTGCATAGTGGCACATGCCTGTAATCTCAGAACTCTGGGAAGCTGAGGCAGGAGAATGCAAGAGAGAGCTTAGCCTTAATGAGACCTTGTCTCCAAAAAAAAAAAAAAAAAGTGGGGTTTGGTGATGTACCTCAGTGTGAAGGCCCTGCGTTTAATCTCTAATACCCAAATACAAAACAAAAATAAAACAAACAGAAAACTATCTGTTTTTTTTTTAAGCATGCAGGTTTGAGAACTACTGCACTGCCTCATTTGGGCCATTCTTCAGGAGAGTAGTCATGTCCCTTTGATTTTGCTCCCAAACATCTTTTGCGTTTTCCTCCGCTCTGTGTCCACCAGCCACTAGTCAGGTCCAACCTACCAGTATCTCTGGCTGGGGTCACTGTGTAGCCGCAAAGTTCTCCTTCAGGAAGGTACTGTCCCCATCAGGCTGGGGGCCAGAGCGGCCACAGCGGCCATTCAGTCTCGGTCTGATTGTCATGATCCACGCACCCCACCGCTCAGTTCTCTCCACTCCTTAGGATGAACACATTCCTCATGTGGCCAGAGGGGCAGCCCGAACTGGACCCTATTGTCCTTCCCAGACCTGCCCCAGAGCTTCTCTCCCTTTGGGGCTTTTGTGGTCGGTTGCTGTTCTCTCCAGGGGTTCTCCTTTCTCCCCTTAACCTGCGTACCCTCAGGTGAGCCCCTGCCACTTCTGCAGCAGGCTGTCTGGGCCTCTCCTGGGCAGCACCTTTCAGCTGCAAATTTTTGTTAATTTATTTTTAATTTTTTTGGGTTTTTTTGAGACAGGGTCTTGCTAGGTAGTGTTTGCTGGCCTTGAACTTGCTTATGTAGCCCAGGCTGGCCTCACACTCATGGCAGTCCTCCTACTGCCTCAGCCTCCTGAGTGCTAGGATTACAGGCATGCAACACCACACCTGGTTTATTTAACCATGTGTCTCTCCAAGCAGAATGGAATTTCCCATAAAGTCAGGGACCAGCTTTCTTTATTATTACAGCCCTAGTGCTTGGCATGTATTAATCTCTAAAAACCTGCCCTCTCTTCCACACTGGGATCTTCAGAGAAGACAGAGTCTGGGGGTGGATTAGTTCTGTAATTATCCCAGGAGCTATTCTGTCTATCCACTTGCTTGTTCACTTGTTGTTTGTACATTTGCAGTATCTATTGCATGCCACTTAGAGCTGGAATTCTGGACCTAAGCGAACTCAGCCAGCAGAGTAGGCATCGACAGTGAGTTGAACACTTGTCATACTTCCTCTGATTGATCAAAATAAATTTACTCATGAGCTAAGTGCCAGAAATGCTTCTTGGCCTTGTGTAGTTTATATTGAGGGAGGAAAGATGGTCATTAAATAAGTAATCATAAGTTTTACAAAAAAAGGCAGAGGGTGTGCCTTGGTGACACAGCACAGGCGGTTCAGGTCTCATCTGGGGAATCAGGGGAAGGCTTCTCTGCCTAAGGAGCTGAGACCCAGAGGATGAGCACGAGTTACTCTGAGAACAGGCCCACTGAACCTGCGTGTCTACCAAGCAGCAGGGAGCATGCAGGTCTCCTGTGAACCAGGGCTGAACCATCCATCCTCTGGATCAGCTCCTCTTGCATCATGCGAGGTTGGCCAGGATGGTCCAGGCTGGTCTGGAGGGCACATGGGGCACTAACTGGAAGAGGGAATGGCGTGTAATTAGGTACCCCTCAGGATCACCTCTCTGACTCGGGCACCACATGGACTTCTGTGAAGTCAGGGCCACCGAGTGCTCTTGTGGCACAATATGAACATCACCAGCAGCAGTTTTTACTCATTTCTTTATTAATATAGAAAAGGAGCCCAAGGCAGCTGGACCAGTAGTACAAAGCACCAGGAGTTAATACTACTCTGGTAAAAGGGTTGGCCTTGCAAAAGTGAAGGAGCAGGCAGGAGCTGCCCTGCTTCCGGGTCTAGGCCCAGCCTACTGCCCAGACCTCAGAGCAGCACCTGGCATGAATTCCTGGGAAAGGGAAGACAGGAAGTTCAGGGGCGGGATGAGCTGGAGACCATGGCAGGGGGAGGAGATGACAGGGATCAGGGATCAGGCAGTGAGAACCATCCTGTGGCTGATGAAGACAGGCTGCGGCTGGCTTGAGTCTCCCCACTGGAGCAGGGGCTCTTGATGGGCCTCAGCTCTGGATACAGGTAGAAAAATACTGCAGATACCAGTGGGCACGGTGAATCCAGACATGGCCCTGGGGTTTAAGGGCTTTTCCCCCTCTCTCCACCAGGAACTGCATTTACTCAACTTATACTATATGTGGGGCTTTAGGGCCCAAGGCACAGAGGGAGGCTTCCCCCCCCACGGGTAGGAAGATGGGGCAAGGAAGGAAGTACTTGAGTAATCCCAGCTTAGGTAGCCAGGACCAAGACATAGTGCAGGACAACAGTGTTCCTGCATAACAGGGCTAGGATATGGGGCAGGCGTAGGCTTAAACTCAGCCAGTGAGCAGGGCCAGCCCCAAGGCAATGGTGCTGAGCCTGAACCTTAGCACATCAAGTGTGCAGTGTGCACTAGGTGTCAGCAGACCTGGACCTTGATCACACAGAGCTGTGTCACCCATGTCTGCCTCAGCCTGTTTCCTCACTTGCCAGTGAGGGCTTTGGATGTGACCTCTAAGGTCATGGAAAGGACTCTGGAGGTGAATGGAGCTCCAGGACCTGCTCAAGTGGGAACAGGTCTCACCTAGCCCCTGGGGTGGGACCGAGGAGTGACGGAGGGAAAGATGTTCTTGCATGGAACCTACCCCACAAACACTCCAGAGAAAGGACACAGTGTGGCTCAATGCAGTCCCTTCACAATCACCATCTGGTACCACTTGGCATGGAGAGAATGCGGTGGCACTGGCAACCCTTTATGTTCTTCCCCATGGTGGGGAGCGCAAGGCCTCTGGTGGCTTCTGTCTCAGCCCTCAGCATGGGATCAGGAGTGCTCTTGTTGACTGTGGTCCTATCTTGGGACAGCCCAAGACTCTGCCTGGCTGGCACATGTTAGTCGGTGAGGAAAGGACAGAGAGGGGTGACTAAGCAGACAGGGAGACGAGAGTGACTCTCTGACTTTCTCCTCCTCCTCTGGCGAGAGCAGCTCAGTCAACCGAGTCACAGATCTCTTCCACCACAGCGTTGAAGATGTGTGGCTGGTCGGCATAGACGTGGTGCGACGCACCCTCGATCTCCTGCGGAGAGAGGACCCGAGATGTAGGATGGTGCTTTCTTCCAAGCACTAGAAAGCCGTCCCACCGTTCCTTCTCTGCTTAGACTTGCTTACCTGCCACTCACTGGCTCTTATCAGACACAATGCTCCCCCTTTCTTTGAATCTTGGTACTTTCTTTTGGGAGCCAATGTATCTCATTATCCCATTCATGTCCTCTTACGCCCTTCCCTGTATCTTCCCTTCTTTGTTAGCCCCACCACTGATCTGCTCTTTTATCAGTAACCCAGGGCCTATGGGTGGCACCCAGCCTGCTTCTGCATGCTTATTGGCAAATGAGGGAGAGGGCAGGGTGAGGTAAGAGTGAAAGGAGAGCCGAGTGTGAAGAGATGTCTTCATAGTGCTCTCATGTTCACAGCTCTGGTTTTGGGTAGAAATAACCAGAGGCAGGGCTGGAGTGGCAGCATATGCCTGGCTATCGGGCAAGAACCTGTCTTTCAGCTGAAATGGGCTACACAGAAGTGGGAAGCCCCTACCTATGATCTTACAGAGTAAGCAAAACCTTTGAAATCTGCCACTGCATTTCAATCTGTTCATCCCTGTTTGCCCTGGACCTAATCACCCAGGGTGAGAGTCAGCCAGCCAGACTGGGATTCACCTCACGGCATCTCTTGCTTAACCCCCACTCATCAGGTAGGCCAACGTACCAAGTCTCGGACATAGGAATCCGGCCGCTGCATCTTCACCTTTTTCCCCGTGCTGGTGTCTATCCAGGTGTTGGCCCCGTAGATCATAGTGATGGGAACGTCCTTTCGGATTAAGTGAATCCGCTCCAACATGGGGCGCCGGGCCCAGCCGAAGGACTCCATCATGGCTTTGAATGCCGTTTCACCACTGGTAGAAGCAAAACAGGGAAGGGCAATTAACAGAATAAACCCTGAAGCAGAAAATGTCAACTTCTTGGTCTCTTTGGGAGCTGGGGCAGTATATTAGTTGTCTTTGGGCTCCTTGTTAGGTTTGGCACGTGTGAGAGACAGAACAGAGATAAAGAAAGCCTTTATTGCCGGGCACGGGAGGGCAGCTAAGAAAAGCAAGGACACTCTGAGGGAGGAAGCCGAGAACAAAGCACATATTGGGCTAGGTTGGGGGTGGAGTATATGGGGGCGGTTCAGGGGACATTACAGGCACCGATTGGGAAAGGGTAGATGCTCATGCGCAAAAGAAAGTGGAAAGTGGTGGTCTGATGGGGGAGGAAGAAGGCGGAAGTCAGTTTGGGTGGGACATGTTGTCTTTTTGGGCCCCCCACCATGCTGGATTGCCGCCATCATGGCTCGGCAGAATTCTGTATGGGCTGAAAGCCATCATTCCCCATCTCAAAGCCCAGCACTAGGCTCATCCAACATTGGTAAGGTTAGGAGGTGACTGAATTTCCAGAGGTCACAACTGGAGGGGAAAAAAACCCCATGGTACCAGGAATGGCCCAAGAACGGAATGTGTTGCTCTTTATTCAACAAATATTTGCCTGTCACACCCTGGGCTGGGTGGGGGGATGTATGAATTGGACAGATGAGGTCCCTGCCCTCCTGGAGTCAGATTTGAGGAAGGTGGGTATTACATGACTAACCATCTGAGTAAACATTTAATTTAAAGTTTCCTGAGACTTATGAAAGTGTGTCAGATAGCTATGAGAACAGACTAGGGATAGCTTGCTGGGGCAGCAAAGGGGAAGTCATTTGGGGTAAACCCTGAAGAACAAGTACTATAGCAGTAAAAAGAGTCTTTTCTGGGGCTCTGGAATTAGGATGAGATGTATGAGGATCGATATTTTGTGCTAAGGGAGAAGCAACCAATGCCAATTTGCTCTACTCTATTGCCTGGTCATTTTCTTCAGTGGAGCTAACTTGGGCCATATCATGAGGTGTCTGCAAGCCTGGGGCAGGAGCCAGCTTCCTGGCTGTCTGTACGTTTGTGGGAGGTGGGGAGGTTGGGGACGCTGCTATCCTCTAGGCATGGCCTGTTTAGTATAGTTATATCCTGGGTCTTCTTAGCATCCTTGGGCTGAATTCTGCCCTGGCTACCAGAAATTGAGAACTTTTCTTTAAGATGTCACAGTGTAGTGGATAAATTATGGGCTTTGGAGTCAGATAGACATGAATTCCAATCCTGGATTTTTTTTTTCAGAAGTCATGCAACCAGAACAGACTATACTTTTCTCTTCTACAAACTGGAGAGAATTATACCCACTTATTAGGTCATGATTAGGAGAATGAAAATATATACAAAGCCACTAAGTTTAGGTGAAGTGAAGTACATACCCTCAAACATTCTTCTAAGCCAACTTTCACACTTTCCAAGGGATTGATTATAGAATATCCTGAACTTGTTAGCTGCCAGTACAAAAACGCAGGAGTTATAAAATAGAGCTATGGTGTTTGAGGGGTGAGGAAGTTGGTTATCCTGATGTCATCAGTGCTTCCTCTAAGACACAGGTTGCAAGATGATAGACTCTGTAGCTTTGCCTGGGAGGTCACCGTACAGACATAGGTCCCAGATGAGGAAAGCTCCAGTTGGGCCTGTGACACTAGCACTGAGCCTGGGGAGGCAGAGAAGAGCCAGGAGAGGGAAGCTCAGGGTACCTGCTTTGACTTTGAGCTGAGTTTCTGCAGCACTGCTTAACAGGAGACCCTCCACCTGCTGAGCCCATGTGACACATTGGCTAGACAGCTCCCACCCTGCCCTAGAGCTCCCTGGGCTTGTGGCTAATGCTAACAGTATTGCTGAAAGGGAAACTCCTGCCTTCCTCACAGCTTTGGGCTCCTTGCGGTGATTTGGGCAGGCCTGGAAAGAGGTGGGACAATGGCCCGGCTCCTGTGATGCCTGCCAGCACCTCAGGGTGAGTCCTCTACAGAGGTGGTACCACCAATGTGGCTGCACGGTATCAGCACTCACAGGCACTGCTGTAGGGGCTGATTACGTCCCTGGCTTTGCCCTGGTTATCAACACTGCCGTGGCTGCAAGGTGGCAGGCTGTCGGGCAGGCTGTGTGAGTAGAGATAGGAGCCCCACAAGGTTCCAGGGACACCCCTACCCCTCCAAAAGAGGTGAAAGAATTTCAGTCCCAATGGTAAACTACTTCAAAGTGCACACAATTAAATTAAATGCATACTCTTTCACCAAACACTTCTCTCTATAGGGATGTGTTCTGTGCATGTGTTGTATGTGTGTGTGCAAAGGACTTGTGCCAGGTCACATGACATCTTAGACTGAAAATTATGGAGAAATTTGAGAACTGGAGGTCAGGGACAGCAGACTTTCTCTCCTTCTCTCTCTTTGCCTTTTAAAAAATATTAGATTTATATAATTTTTTCAGTTAAAAAAAAGCTCTTTTAAAATGTTTCCCAAATTTTTACCATCAGGCCACCTGCCTATCTCTAGGGACAAGGGAGGACCTTCCTCTAGAGACTGACACATGTTTAAATTAATCCATTATCCTCTACATCCTTCTGTGCCCAATCTGGGGATCTCTCTGCAAGTGATCAACCCTGCTGGTACTTGCATTCCCCTAACTTCAGTGCTTTGTGGGAAAAGAAATAAGGCACATCATTCTGCAGTGGGAGTTTTATCTCCAAAGCACCCACTGCAGGCTGTGCTGGGAGCCGTTCTCACCTGGGATTTTGTGCATTGCAGTGGTAGATATACTCAGATATGGTGTCATCTTCAAAGAAGTCTGCAAACTTGCGCTTGAAGTCTGGCCGGAATCGCTGCACCAGGCCAGGCCCTGGGAGAGGATGAAACCAAGGAGAAGCCAGTTTGGACAGTAGAAGGGATGAGATTCCTACTGTCTGTTTAAACCAATGTAACCAAATGTTAAGGGTTTATTTGCTTTATGCATTTAACATCACAGTAGCAAAAAGAATGCAGGAGTCTATTGGGAAGCTCCAGATACTTTCGAATAAGAGTTAGTGGGTTTCCAAAGAATTTATAGAGATGGTCTAACATTCCTGAGGAACCAGGTTATTTTCAGCTCAGTGAAGTCCCAAAGTGTTTTTCTACCTTAATCTGCTCTCTTGTGATTAAGGATCACAAGCTCCATGAGTCTATGGTTGAGATACTTTTTTTTTTTTAACAGTCTGAGCTATGTTCTCTTTCTCTCTGGGACTCTTCTGGCCTTTTAATCTTCTGAAGGTAGCAGATGAAACTGGAGCACCTCCCAAAAGCCCTCTCATTTTCAGAATATGTGGAGAGGTGACCTTAACAACACTGGCAGGTCAGGGTCGGGGCGCTCTGTTAAACAGTCTGTTCCTTTCATCTTTATTTATGATACAAATACAAGTAGTAGGGCAGCTAAAGCAGACTGTGAATATTGGTCCTACTGGTCAATGTTTCACCCTTCTCTCTCTTTTTTTTCTTTGGTCTTTTTGAGACAGGGTCTTGCTATGCAGTTCAGGCTGACCTTGAGCTCACTTTGTAGCCCAGGCTGGTCTTGACCTCGCAATGATTCTCCTGCCTCAGCCTCCTGAGTGCTGGGATTACAGGTGTGTACCACCACGCCTGGCTCTCCCTTCTCTCTTCTGATCTTCTGTTTGTGTGCAGTAGCCAGGGAAGTGTGTTGAAGTTGGCCACTAGCAATTAACTTATAATAACGTTACTTGATAAACATAAACCATCAGGGGTCACCAATCTTCCATAAAGGAAATCCACTCTTCACTTCTTCAGAGGAACAGCTCTCCAGAGGGGAGGGTATACGCAGTGTGAGGGCAGAAGGCTGGAGCTACTGATACTGCTCACTGTGGCCGGCTCCCTACTTCCACCTCCTTCTTTCCCTTTAACCCATAGACTTGCTGACAGCTCCTTGGTGCTGGGTGGCACAGAGCAGATTAAGATGTGGTTCTTGCTTGACGCCAAGCTTGGTTCAGAGGGGTCACTGATCCCTCCCTGCTGCAGGTGCTGGGCGAGTCATGGGTTGGGCTCCAGTGTTGGTTACTGCACCTGAATCACTAGTGGCCTGTCAAGCAGATTCGCACATGCAGCAGAGACAGAGACACCTCACAACGCCTTCCTCTCTCTGGGAGTGTGCCAGAGTGTGGGGCAGCTGTTTTGCTCATCTGTTCCTTGCATAAGAAAACTTTTCCCACGCAGATGAAGGGGAAGGAAAACAACCTTCTAAAACCTCAAAGAAGTCTGGTTCAGATTAAAGGCTTTAAGTAACAATGCAAGGTCTAGTCCCACTGTTGATGACCAAGTAGGGGAGGTAGGGAAACAGATGCAGTGAGGACTGGTTAAATGGGACCGCCCTGGTTGAAGGCATGAACTGTTTCATCCGCACGATACTCACCCCAGGGCCCAGCTACTCGAAGAACAGCCAGTGGATTGGAGCGCCCCAGAATAGAGGCCACAGCCTTGACCCAGGTTGGAGGTGTGCGGATCTCACTGGGGTCTGTTGGTCGGAGGGGAAAGCCCCAAGGGTCCACGAGGATAAGGTGTTTAACTCTACAGCATGGGAAGAGACAGAGCACATTTGATTTGCTTGGAGTACCACTGCCCTTAAATAGTCTGGAAGGGAGAGAACTGTTGGAAGTAAATACTGGGAAATACCCAGCAAGGTAGGGAGCCAGGTCATCACAAGGGAGAGCAGTTCCCTCATTACCTTTCAGGGTACTTGATAGAGTAAGAAGTGGCCAGGAATCCTCCCAAACTGTGCCCCAGCAGGATCATGCTGGGGATGCCCATAGTCTCCCGCCACGTCTCTATTGAGGTCACAAACTCATCCTCGGCACCCTCGGGGTCCCTTGGGAAGGTTGGCCTTGAGCTTCGCCCGAAGCCAAGCAGATCGAAGGTGTGCAGCGTGCGGCGGGAGCTCAGTGAATCCATGTTGAGGATCCAGAGCCCCACACCACCCCCAAAGCCATGCACCATCACTAGCGGGGTGCGGTCCTTTTGCTCAGGGCTCACAGTCACCGTCCAGATCTTGTTCTGGTTTGGGAGGGACACATATCGGGCCAGGAACTTGTTCTGGAGACCTGGGGAGGAGAGAATGCCATGGGAGCCAACACACTACTTCCTACGGGCAAAACCCACTCTGCTGGACTCTGACTCTTCTTCAGGCTTTTCTCTCCATTTCCGTGCCCTTCCCAGCCTCCCGTAGCTCTTGCTTTCCTGACTCCTCCGACCACTGACAAAGACTCTCTATGCCCGAAGCTCAGGAAAGCTGTCCTGAGCCCTCTTCTGGACGAGGTCTTGACCTTGGCCCCCACCTGTCTTCAGCCTGCCTCGCTCAGTCTTCACAAGAATTCTACTAAGTCAGGTTTACTAGAGTCTCCTCACCCTTCATGCTTGATTGAATTCCTCATCCCCTACCTTTGATGTCTGAGTCCTTCACCTTCCTTCAGAATGAACCCATTAAATCAGTTTAGTAAGAACTCCTCATCCTTGGTATCTCCTCTTAATTTTTTTTCTATCCACTGACGTCCTCACTCTGTTCCTCAGCTTTTTGTTTGTTTTGTTTTTATTTATTTAATTGTTTTTTGAGACAGGGTCTTGCTCTGCAGTTCAGGTTGGCTTTGGGCTCAGCATGTACTCCAGGTTGCCTTGAACACATGGTGATCCTCCTGCCTCAGCCTCCCGAGTGCTGGGATTACAGGTGTGCGGCACCATGCCTGGCCTTGCTCCTCAGTTTTAGGTTCTCATTTGTCCTTGAAGGATTCAGAATTAAGCTTGATCACTCCCCTAGTCCAATAGTCTTAGTCTTCCTAACTCACTTAATTACTCAGAATATTTTTTTCTTTTGCAGCACATACCCTAAAGCATTCAAATCCAAGTACAAGGTGTGGACTATGTGGGCAGTAGGTATCGGAGGGGCCATCTTATTCCTTGAGGCTGTGTGCCCAACTCCCTCTGAGCCCAGGGTGGCAGGGACACCACTGCTTGCATAGAGCTCTTGTGTCCATTGCTCGTGAAGCTGCATGTGCTTAGGATTTGACAGATGGGCCGAACTGTGCTCCAGCTAGGTGGAGAGGATGACGGGAGTGTGCTGAGCCCTGGGCTCGTTGCTCAGGTGCTGAGGCGGGGCAGCGCTTGTTCTGCCGGTGTGGCGGCAGTGACTCAGTGCAGCAGCCTGGGCGAAGTAGCCTGGAGTCTTTGGGTCTATGGCTACCACTGCTCATGGGATGCCTGCCCCAGTGTAACACTGACCATGTCAACTGGTCCCCAACTGGGACCAGCTGGGATGGGAGGTGGCCATAGCTGAGGAACACAGGAAACAGCAGCGTTAGCGCGCAGGTTTCTGGCCCTCAGGTAGGAAGGTGGCAAATGAGGAGGTGCTGGTGTGTTTGGGAACTGGGGGAGAGGGAAGCAGTGGGGACAGTGGAGGAGGAAGGGGCAGGGGAGCACGTGCATATGCGTCTGTGAATGTGGACTAACTCATAATACTACAGAGGGGGTCTGGAAAGCTGTAGGATATGGTGGGAATGGGCATAGCTGGGGAGAAGCTGAGAGACTGCTACGAAGGAATGTGGTGGCCTGTGAGAAGCCCTCTAATCACTGACATCTCTCCCTCCCACCCCGCGCACTGTTAATCAGGAATCAGGGGCTCGGTGTAACTGGCTCTGGGCAGATCCCACGTCCTTCTTTGAAGTGGGGACAAACTGTCCCTTCTACTTACACTGGAGGATCCTGGCTTCCACATTCTTCAGCTGAGACATGGAAGTGGGACGCCACGCAGGCAGCCAGCTGCTCAGCCAGCCTTGAGGCCTGGAACAAGGAGACACAGACACTTACTGGCAACATTGGAAAGGGAACGCCTTGCTGAGAGTCCGCACAGTTATCAGAGTATAGGGTGTTCCCAGCCTCGGGACACCCAGCACACAATGGCAGTCAGCAAGGCCACCACGGCCTGACACATTGTCCGCTCTCCTGGCTGTTAACAGCGTCCTGCCCCTTGTTCCCACAGACACTCAGAACACCTTTTTGTGTGTGTATCATTCACAAGGCTCTGTCACACTTTTTATCTCACTTGAGCCTCACAGCTCCCTTTTGTTACCGGTTATCTTATTTGTGTTTAAGAAGATTAGAAAGGGAGGGAAAGCAACTTTTCACTAATAGTTCAGTTCTCCTGTGCCATCCCCAGGACTAGCTGTTCCCTCAGGGTAGCACAGAAAATTCCCATGCCACCTGTGCCCCTGGCCCTCTTCCATGCCTCCAGAAGTATGCAGCATGTCTCAGTGCCCAAAGATGTTCTCGGGTATCCTTCGGCCCAGACCTAAATGTGGAGGTGAGGCAGGCAAAAGGCTGGAGGAAGAAGACCTAGGTTCAGGTCCTGCTGTCGTTCATCAACAGGACAAAGGTTGCCTCTGGCCTTGTTTTCCAGATTGTAAAGTGAGTAAAAAGCTGGCCCACGCCCTCATCACCTGTAGAGCTCTGTAAAGCAGACAAGCTAACTCATCTGCCTTCTCTGTCAAATTCAGTACCTTTAAGTCATTTCAGGGTAGAGATTAAGAGCACCATCTTTGGAATTAAAACAAAACAACCCCAAAAACCTCCAGGATCTGAGTTGCAGTACTGTACTATCTGGCTGTGGCCTATTAATGTATCTTTGTGTGTAGATCTATAAGAACCTTGTCAGATGCCTACCACAAATTAAAGGCTCAACAGTTTTTATTCTTCCTTTCCCATTGTACATACTATTTCTCTTTTCTTGAACTCTGCCTGGGTAAAAGGAGTTCAGGACAGATACCAACAGCTGTAGGAAGGACCTGTGAACATCAGCACCATCAGCATAATGGTTCTGTGAGAATACCATTACCAAAACCCTTCAGTACCCACGGGGCATCTTGCTGAATCATTTGGGCCATAGAGTTTTTCTGTTTTGTTTTGTTTTGTCTTTCTGGTACTGGGAATCGAACTCACAGCCTTGTGCTTGCCAGGAGGGCGCTGTGCCACTGAGCTAAATCCCCAGCCCCGGGACCACAGAGTTTTAATTAGGATGTTTCTTTGGAAATCATCTAGTCCGGCCTCTTTATTTTACAGGTGAGCAAACTTATTGCAGTGCCACAAGAGAGGTCTTAATACAAGTCAGGGAAAGGAACAGAACCAGAAGCCAGATCTCGGATCCAGGTTTCGCAGTTTTTCCTCCCTGGTCCTCCCAGCTGCAGCTCTTCAAGACTATGCATGAACATTCAGAGTGTGCAACCACACTGCCTTGCATCTCTCTGCTTCCTGAAGGAGGTGTGACGCAGTCAGAAGACTAGAGTTCTGATCCAGCGCTGCCACTTACCAGCAAGTCTTTCTTGTTATTTAAAGGGAGATAAAAGTATCTACTTCATAGGAATTTTATTTTGTTTTATTTTGTGGCACTGGGGGATGAACCCAGGGCCTTTGCACTAAGCTACAACTCCAGCCCTTTTTCTAACTTTTTATTTTGAGACAGGGTCTTGCCGAGGTACCCAGGCGAGGCTCAAATTTGTGATCCTCCTGCCTCAGCCTTTGAGTGCTGAGATTGCAGGTATGCACCACCACACATCACAGGACTGCTGTAAGCATTAGTTAATACAGCTAAAGCACATAGAATAATGCCTAGCACAAGATAAACTCCCAGCAAACATTCTTTTCCCTCAACTAAATCAGAAGCTATCTACAGTCCCACTGTTTTGCAAATGGAAACCCTTGAATGTTTGCAGTCTGAAAGAAAAACTTGCGTTGGGAGTAGTATATCAATGGTTTTAGCCAGATGAGAGCTGTCAGGCTTAATCAATCTAATCCTAGGGAGACCCTATAAAATTTGTTCATATTTTACTGGAGTTCTTTGTTGGTTTGAAGCATAGAGATCAGGACCACAGGATTTTGTATCTCAAGACACAAACCTTTCAAGTCAGGGAGATGGTGACAGGTCAGATCATAACACCTAGGCCTCACACTGCCCAAAGCAGAGCTCATAAGAAATGCTGTCCCCTGGAACAGCACCACAGGTGGTTCAGCAGATACTCTGAGAAGTGCTTTACTTTGCCTTTCTTTCTCAGCAAAAATATTAAAGGTAAAGTACACTGTATCTGCTCAGTTCTATTACAGGTAAAGTACAAGAAGTGGCTCCTGATACACTGCATCTGCTCAACACTATTGGAGAGGTTAAGGGCAGATGTGGGAAACTGAGGCAAGGAGCAGCACAGCAACTCAGCCATGAACTCAGCCTGGCGGGGGCGTCCTCCATACTGATGGGAATAAAGCAAAGAGTGGGGAGAGCATCCTGTGCTGGACTTCTCTGAGCCTGGGCAACCCTTCCAAAGCCTGACAGCCTGAGTTTCTTTATTTGTAAATCAGAGCTGAATGAGCTGTATCTCTTCCAGCTCTAATACTGTTTCCCTGAGTCTTTGTAAACATTGTTAATGTTCTCTTGGAAAAATCATCTTAGCAACACTCTGCTGGGTAAGCCTTTCAAGCCTATTTATTCCCGTTATCAAGTTAATTCGTTTTCCTGGACTAACAATTCTACAGCTCCAAAAGGTCCAGGGAAGGCCTTGTAGCGGTGAAACCCACGGCCTGGAGCTGAGTCATTCTCCCGGAGACAACTTTTCCTTGCTATCAGACTGCAATTTGCTGGTCACACCACCTACAGGTGGCATCCCAAATCTGAAGCCCCTTGGTTAAAAAAACAAAACAAAGCACTAAATCTAACAAAGCTAACTGCGAAACCACTGGGTTAAGGATGTCGTGACGATCAAAAACATTATCAATTAGAGATGCGAGCGGCAACGTGTCTCGCTAGGCAAGCGCTGAAGAAACTTGTAAGCCCATCACTCCACACCGATCCGCCTGGCGGAGATCTCTCCCTTCTTCCCACGCCTTCCCCGGCTCAGGCTGGGACCGGCAGACTTCACAGGGACCACTGCGGTCGGCCCTGGGGCGTCCGGACGAGCACGCCCGCTGCTGCCCCGCATGCGCGTTCCACGACCTTGCATTTGGGGGGAATCTCGAGCGTTAGCATTAAGTGGGGGGCAATCGCGAAGACTAAGCGGAAAGTCAGAATCCCTGAGCTGCAGGCAAAGCTCATCCACCATCGCTCCCCGGGCGCTGCCAACCGCCTCTCCTGGGCAAAAGCGAAGCAGGCAAACGCAAGTCCCAGTCCTCCCGGGTATAGCCGACCTGAGACAGGAAAGGTGGGAAGGTGTCTAACACTGTTCGTCAGCCACAGAGAGTCCCAGGATCATGGCCCAGAGAGAGACAGAGAAAGAGAAAGACGGGATTAACTCACTGCTGCTCCAGATCATCAGCCATAGTAAACAAGCCCTGCAGGGTCGAGCAGAGCCAGCCCATCCCTCCGCCTGACGCCAGCACCAGCTGACCCAGAAAGTCTCCGGTAACAAAGGGGGCGTGGCCGGTTCGGGGGCGGGGCTCCTGGGCGGCGCGGGGCTGGGGGTGTCGGTGCTGATGCTGAGGCCTCCAAGCAGAGATGACCTTGGTGGGGGGAGTGGGGAAGGAGAGAGGGCTCTCACAAAAGAGGACAGCGCTCCTGGCACAGATTTGGGGGACAGTACGGGAGGCAGGCAGGGCTAAAATCCAAGTCCTTCAGGGGAGCTCCTTCCACCTTCCCTTCCCTCATAATTGAAAAGCAGCAGAACTACTCCGGTGCTCGCACTCTCCCGGGTTCGCTTATCGCTCCCTTCCCCAGGGGTACTCGCCTTGGGAGTTTCATCTGATACGATGCTTCAAACGTTTGTGGAGACATTATTGGTTGCTCGTACAAACGGCCTTTCTCACTAAAAATATTAAAGGTTAAGTATACTGTATCTGCTCAGTTCTATTACAGGTAAAGTACAAGAAGTGGCTCCTGATACACTGTATCTGCTCAGCACTACTGAGGAAAGTTTTAAGAAAAGAAAAGCTGGGATGCCTAGTTAATTTGAATTTCAGATTAAAAATAATTTTAAAGAATAAGTACGACTCTTGCAGTATTTGGGACATCACTGAGCCTCCTGTATTTTTTATTTTTTGCAACCTGTTTTAAACCAAGGTGCTCAAGGGTTACAAAGTGAGCACAAGTCCAGCCTGAACTGCATTGCAAGACCCTGTCTCAAAAAAACCAAAAAAACAAAACAAAACAAAAAAAAACCCAAAGTGCTATCTGCCATGATGGCCTGTACTCTGTTCTGGGGATGAGTTTGGTCCCAGCTTAGTTTTCAGAGAAACTGTGGCTCAGCGTCTAGTCTCCCCTGTTTGGAGGACCCCACACTTCCTGAGAGGAGGACTCCAGTAGCAGGACTAACTGCTCAGGCCTGGTCGGCTTAGGTTTGTAGGGGTGCGGATGTGGGAGGTCTGAAGAATACATCAGGTTGGTTCAACCGAAAAGCCAGATCTTCAAGTTGGCTACAGCTACTTGGGGTTCAGTGAGACTCAGTTAATTAAAAGCATAGATGCTAGGGGCAGAAGTCTAAGTTTAGATTCCTGTTGGCTTGGCCATATATATATTCATTATGCTCAGGTGAGCCAGTTATTTTGTGTCTCTTTAATTTCTTCCTCTGGTTTATGTCTTGTCAGAGTTAACTAAGATAATTCAAACAGACATTTAGGAGACTTTTGTGCTAAAAATGTTACTTGCTATTATTATTCAAAGTCAAGCATTATATTAGGTGCTAAGACTGCAACTGACGAAAGGGAAGAAATAACCTGCTCTACTCTTACACAGAGACTTTCCATTTGTTGTATGCAGTTCCAGACTGTGATTACCTTTGTAGAATTGGCAACTTCCATTTATTTCTTTATTTTGAGACAAGGTCTTGCTATATAGTTCAGGCTGGCCTTGAACTCACTAGGTAGCCTCAACTCATGGCAATCCTCCTGCCTCAGCCTCCTGAGTGCTGGGATTACAGGCTTATTCCTCCCAGCAGAGGGGGAAACTGTCTTCTGAGCTCAGCTCTCTTCTGAGGCCTTTATTTCTTTTTTCTTTCTGAGCCCTTTCTTGACCACAGATTCTAAAAGAAACCCCCATCACTCTATCACATTACCCAATTTTTGTTTTCTTCCTAATACTTGTCATTATCTAAAATTATCTTGTGTATTTGTTTATTCTTTTATTATCTATCCATTTCTCTCTGTATGAGAATAAATTTCCAGGGGACTTTGTCGATTTCTCTTCTTTGCTCCCAGCACCTAGAATAGTGCAGCAGAGTAGGTGTTTAGTAACTTGTTTGGTAAATGAGTGAATGAAAAAGTCTATTGGTCAGGCATGGTGGCGCATGCCTGTACCATACAGGAAATTCCAGGCTACCTTACCCTAGGACAGTACAATCTCTCACTTTTCCGAAAACCTGTAAGATGTAGGACTTTTTGAGTTGAGGCTGATTGAACTGGAACTGGCATTGAACTCTCTAGACTCCAAATCATGAGGGCAGTGCAGAGAATTTGTATTTTGTTTTTCTGTGTGTCAAACCAGCTTTAAAAGCAGGATAGTTATTTGCCTTTTTAAACTAAAGTTAATAGATCACCTAGGGCTGGGGATTTAGCTCAGCGGCAAAAGCGCCTGACTGGCAAGTGCAAGGTCGTGAGTTCGGTTCCCGGTACCGGAGAAAAACCAAAAAAAAAAAAAAAAAAAAAAAGATCACCTAAGGTGTCCACACAGCTGGGATAACAGGTACTTGACTGGATCTGCTAGAATTATATGCAGCAGAAAGAACTCTCACTGCCCAGATAGGCTTCTAGGGAGAAAAATGTGTGGTATTTTTTTTCTCCCTACCTTCAAGACAGGATGCATGATGCGCAGTGTGAAAACATGCAGCCATTATGGATGGAAAGGAATGAGACAAACCCTTTTTCCTGTGTCTATACGCTATCATTTAACATTCCAAAAGCGGGTGGAGCTGGTAAACTAATAGCCCAACCCTGGCCAAGATAGACTGTTATTTGGTTTCAAATGAATGTCATTGCCTTTTGAATGAACTATGAACTAGGTATGACTCTAGACCACATATAGTACTAAGTGACATAGCTTTATATTTGCTTTGTCCAGTGATAGCCATGTGTGGCTACTTAAGTTTTAAATTAAAATAACCAAAATGTCCTTGGTCACTGTAGCTGTATTTCAAGTGCTCAGCAGCCCCATATGTTCAGTTGCTACTTTACTAGAGAGCACAGAGACATTGTCATCACCACAGAAAATTCTACTGGATAGGGCAGTGTCACCCAGGCAGTGATGATTTCAGCTTGTTGTTGGAGAGAGTGCAACAGTGCACGTCATTATGTTTTTTTTTCTGGTACCGAGAATCGAACTTACAACCTGGCACTTGCCAGGCAGGAGCTGTGCCACTGAGCTAAATCCCCAGCCCCTAGTGCACGTCATTATGAATCACTATTAACCGGGGCTGGGGATTTAGCTCAGCAGCACAGCGCCTACCTGGCAAGCGCAAGGTTGTTAGTTTGTTTACCGGTACCGGAAAACAAAACAAAACAAAACAAAAACTACTAACCACGCTCCAAGGATTAAATACTACCCTCAGAAAGGACAACATGATGGATTTTCTTTTGGGTGGTGGTGCAGCTTTTTATGAGGGAAGGGGACGAAACAAAGGTGACTGTAAATTTTTCCCTTCCGTCAGGGACTGAAAGGATGAAGGGATGTGGGTTCTCTGAAGATACCTGCTGCTTGACTGGGACTTGCACCAGAAACTTGCTACTTTCACAATTTGATTTATGTTGCTTGCAATCTGATTCCCCTTAAAACTTTCCTTTTAAAAATAATAGTCTATTTACTTATTGGAAAACAAGAGAGTTTTGGTCAAACTGAGGCCAATGTTGAAAAGGTGGACTGTTACATGTCTTTTTCTGCTCACATTTTGGAGAATTTGTCTCTCTCTCTCTTTTCTTTTCTTTCTTTCTCTCTCTCTCTCTTTTTTTTTTTTTTTGAGACAGGGTATCGCTATGTAGTTCAGGCTGGTCTTGAATTCCTGGCAATCCTCCTACCTCAGCCTCCTGAGTGCTGGGATTCCAGGTGTCCGCCACCACTCACAGCTTGGATTTGTGTTTCTTTTAGTAAATAATGTAATTTTTCATTATGAGGAAATATGATCAAAATGGACTTTGCCCTTAAGGGAGGAGCCCTTGTACCTTTCTCCTGTTTTATGATGTTGAGTGTTTTAATAATGAAATCACTAAGGTCTGAGATAGAAGAAATAAAGACAGGTACAAAGGAGACAAGGAAAGTCAATTTTTTTGGTCTCCCGCATTACCTTAAAACTGAGGATCAGACTCCTGCTCAGATCAGCAGGCAGGCATGCAAATCATTCAGAGGTGTATTATAAAGTTTAGTAGTGCTAAATGTACCTAGTTTATCTCTTTTTGTGTGTGTGTACCTAGTTTATCTCATCTCCCTTCAAGACTGAGGGCATCAAGATAAGAGTAATTTTTAAGATACTCAGTTGCCAGTTTTGCCAATTCTGAATCCCTTGGAGCAATGCCTAGAAGTTTTCAGACCTTCACGGGTTCTAGAAAAGCAGACCCTTGCAGACCACCCCGGATAAGATCACCTCTGCCCAAACAGGAGAAATGACCCCATGGCAGATACTGAGGCAGCCCCCCTCTTGAACAAGGAAAGTTGTCTTGGATATAACAATCTCATGGGAACCAAATTGATCCTCAAGCCACTAGGAATTTCCTAGAACCAGGGACATGAAAACTGAGATATGGATAGACCACAGCGCGGCCTAACTCCTTAAAAATTGATTTCATGCTTTTGTGAGTGGGCCATCATTGTGTGCCCTGTGCAAGCTGGAGACTTGAGCTGGAGTCTCTTTCGTTTTCTCCCTTACTTTCTTTCTTTTTTTTTCTTTCTCCCTTACTTTCTAACTCTGCCTAATAAATCTGCATTATGCTTTACACTGAAGCATCATGAAATTATTTATTTGTGTGCTGTGAGTCAAGAACCTTCTGGATGGGCCGAGTTGAGGTTCCCATGTCCTCTTTAGGGGGATCTCCTTGGATCCCTTGAGGGATGAGTCTACTCTGACTTCTGTTTCAACTTATAAACCTGATTGACACTCTTCAGAGCCATCTGATTTGCAGTCCTTTTAGTGCTACCTTTTTCATGCCTAAAATACTGGGGGCCCTGTAGTTTTGTCAACTTCTAATTGTTCTGAGAAAGGGAGGAAGAGGATATAGTTAATTATCATGACTCACAATGATCAATGACCAAACATTTATTAAATATTTACTGTGTGCCAACCACTATGCAAAGTGCTTAGTACTATCTCATTTAATCTTCATAACATTCCAATAATTCAGGTATTATTTTCACTTTATAGAAAAAGAAAAATTATCAGACTAAATAATGTTTTGATTAAGCAACTAGTCAACTGTATAATCAAGGTTCAAACACAACACAGGTTTGTCTGACTCTAGAGCTTGCACACTTATCCAGCATTCTGGACATGAACTTTTTTTTTTTTTTTTTTTTTTGGTTTTTCTCCGGTACCGGGAACCGAACTCACGACCTTGCGCTTGCCAGGCAGGCGCTTTGGACATGAACTTTTACATATGTTAAAGTTTTGAAATATACTGGTTAAAACCAACACTACTAGCATTAGCAGTTCCCCACTGACAGATCAGGTAAGTAGAATCACAAACCGAATACAGAACAAGGCCTTTTCTTGTTGTTTTAAGTAATCCAGCAAAGTTTTAGTTCATTATATTAGTATGACTTTGCAGATCTTGAAAGGGATGCATTCAAAGTCAATGTGATTTTTTTTTTTTATCTCTTTTGCTCTCCTCCTGTGGGAATTCCTGTGGAGATGTAAATCATGATAGTTGACAAAGATCAAAGGCAGCACAACATAAGGGGGAAACTGCTGGAAGAGCCTGACTGATAGGAACCTTGAGGAGTTCACTCCTGAATGATTAAAAAGCATCAGCAGAGCTTGAGGAATGTGAAGTTGAATACCAGTGAGGAAACTACTCGCCCACTCGCTGGTGAGACAGAGAGAAAGCTTCAGCTGTTGGAGACACTGATGCTTCCTGCCATCTTGTCAAATAGGGCAATGGGTCTGGTTATCAACTTCTTTCTTTTCAACAACACGAGAGGGCTTAGGCTGAATTTACATTCAGCCGCGCGAGTCTCGGGGGTTTGTGTGAATATGAATTCATCTCTTCAAATAGACTGTAAAACTAAGGACATGGATAATTTCCTTCTAAAACCTAAGCAAGGCTTTGCTCATTACTGAAAATCAATACATTTGCTGATGCTGATTCAGTTTCCACTAAATGCAAGTTACAAAGTGAAAATGCTGGAGTGGTGTTGTTTCTTCACTGTTTCAGAATTTCGCTCATGTACCTATGATAATTTAAAGTTATTTACAGCTGAAAAACACTAGTTCCCCGAGGAAAGACTTCCAGTTGACAGGTAAGAGGCACTAGTTTTAAATTGGATGTGAAATTACAAGCGCAAGGAAAGCCAGAAGGCAGACTTTTTGGAACAGTTAAAATGCTAAAAATAGTTAACCACATTTGTTAAAATAGAAAACTTCAAACCTATCAAGGTGTGTTATGTACATGTACCAGCTTCTCATGATGAATGTAGTCATGTACTACAAACATGTACCTAAAAAAAAAAAAAAAAAAATTGAAGTCTCAAACCTTCATTTTAGGATCCTCTACAGAATGAGATGGGACCAGACATGCTCTTGTGGGCCTCTCAACACTGATATCTCGGTATAATAAACCGGGCTCAAGACGCCAGTTTCGTGGCGGAGAGCTAAGGTTAATCACCTACATCCTCTGTGCAAGAAAACTGAGGATCAGACTCCTGCTCAGATCAGCATGCAGGCATGCAAATCACTCAGAGGATGTATTATAAAGTTTATTGGTGCTAAATGTACCTAGTTTCTCTCTCTTTTTTTTTGTACCTAGTTTATCTCATCATGTAGGTTAATCTCCTACATCCTCTGTGCAAGATGACCCTTCCAATCACCTTTCCTTTGAGGCGGCCAGTTTCAGATTCGCCTGAAAGTTCTACAACTTAACACAAGGTTGGGCACCTCAATAAATGTTTGCAGAATGAATGAATAAATACCTGTGGGCTTATGTTCTACCGCGGGGCCAGACTCAGGGTTCCAGTTCACCTTTAGAAGGTCACCCCCTCGCCACCTCCCCACCCCCGTCCGTTCCCCGCCCCCATAATCAAGTCTAAACTGGCGCCGGCGCAGTGATTAGCCTCGACAGTTCTTAGTGCTTAGGGACTTGGCTTGCTCTAATGATCTGTGACAGGCATCCGCAGAAAGAGCGCTTCATAGAATTAGCGCCAGGTTGTAGGCGAACTCCGGGAGCGCCAAACATTGTCTCTGAGCAGACTCAGGCGTTTAATCTTTACAGAGATAGGAGGTCCAAAGAGAGCCGGAACCTTTCGGTTAGCTAAGTCGTCCGCCTTTAAACCTCTCCCCCTACTCCTCCCACAATACTGTATCTCCAGACCAGAGCAACAGTGGGCGTTACAACCAGAAGGCGGAAATAGATTAGAAACTGTACACGTCTCCTGCCCGCAGACAAATCCGTTGCGCAGACGCATTAACTATCTCTGGCTGTAGTTCGCATCCTGCGGATGCCGTCTGCGTCTGCGCATTAGTTGTCTTGCGCCTTAGCCTAGCTGTACGCCTGCGCAAATTGGAACACCGGGGTGGGCGGAGCTGGATCTCGTTAGTGCGCGTGCGCAAATGCTACATCCGTTGTGGACGTCGGATCCTGTGGGAGTCAGGGAAGTGCGGCTCGCCGTACTCAGCCTGTAGCCATGTCGGCCTCAGTAGTGTCAGTTATTTCGCGGTTCTTAGAAGAGTACTTGAGCACCACTCCGCAGCGGCTGAAGTTGCTGGACGCGTATCTCCTGTATATACTGCTGACCGGAGCGCTGCAGTTCGGTTACTGTCTCCTCGTGGGGACCTTCCCCTTCAACTCTTTCCTCTCGGGCTTCATCTCTTGTGTGGGGAGCTTCATCCTAGCGGGTAATTCTACATGTAGTCCCAGTAATAATGCGTTACTTCGGTGCTCGGCTTTGTTCTCGCAGTATTCTTTGCTTTTTACCACAACCACCGCCCTCTGAGTTCAGGGAGCAGCCTGCGGGACACTCTTCCTGTGCGGGGAAATTGAGGCTCGGAAAGGGTGTCGTGTGCCTCATATCACACAGCTGCTGAGGAGTTAGAGTTAAATAGTTACCGAAACCCCCTTCCTGTTACTCCCAACCTGGTACTACACACTTCGTATTGGTCCAGAGAAACCCCGCCCACCTTCCGCTTAGTTTTAACACAACCTTAAAGTTGGCGCACTTTTAAATGAAAGAAAAACTAACCTTGGATCATCTCTTTCATCCAGGCCTGATTACTGCTGACCTCTGGTGAAATATTTTAATGAAAGCGTGGGAAATACAAATACAAGTGCTTTGCTGGTCGAGTCAGTCTTACTTGATTTTGATTTTTAGCTCCTTTATTCTTGTGGATGAAGCTAATCTTAGCTTATTTCATTATCTTGAACTCGAATTTTATTCGCATGAATTTATCTTAATTTTTTCTAATTCTCAGCATTTGATAACCTTGTAATACTGCCCTATTTAATGAGCACTTTCTTTATAAATATTTGCCAAAATCTCACCATTCTTGTCAACAGGATTCAGTCAGTAGATTAGCCCAGGAGTGTTAGGCATTCCATTTTATAAGTGGTCAACCTAGGGGCCATTCTAGTAACTGGTATGGCTGCTGTTTGACTTTGAAAAGATAACACGTACACTGTGTGCTGTTCTGCACACTTTTACTTCCAGCACTGAGGGAGGCTGAGGCAAGAGGAAGGCAAGTTCTAGTCCTGCCAGGACAATCAAGTGGGATCTTGTCTCAAAATGAAAAATAAAAAAGCTGAGGCTGTTGCTCAGTGCAAAGACCCTGGGTTCAATATCTAGTAAGTGAAAGAAACAACTTTCTGTGTGATCACTGTCAGGCCATCAGTCCTGTTGAGTTGAATATAAGGTATTATGGTAAATGCTTTGGGGATTCATTAGCTGTGTGTTCCTTGTCTTCAGAGAGTTTACAATTTGGTTGGGGCATAGCCAAAATGCAGTGTTAGGGCCAGGGATATAGCTCAGCGGCACAGCGCCTGCCTGGCAAGCTTGAGGTTGTGAGTTCAATATCCGGTACCAAAAAAAAAAAAAAAATTGAGCACTCTTTCCACATGTCACCTTGATTTGTCTGACTACTCTTTTCAAAATGCAGTGTTAGAATTTTTTTGGACACTTCATTTACAGTTTGCCATACTTTAAGTTAGATCTGTAGAATGCATTTTCCATATTCACATTGCTAGTTCAGACTCACCATAGATATTTTTACTTCTTACAACTTCAAATAGGCCTAAGGGCTGGATGACTGTAGCCCTAGCTGACTCTGGAGTTGAGAATTAGACTTTTGATTGGATATTTAATTATGATATTTGAGTTTTGCCCTAGACCACTAAGACCTGGTGCCCTGTGGCACCATCTTAGCCTATAGGATATGATCAGCTAGTTCACAGGATAATCCTATAGGATATTAGCTAGATTGAATATACTGTACGCTTTGCTGTATGTGCCCAGTACTGTTTATAACTAAAAATTTTAGTAACCAGCCAGAAGAGGGAAACTTAATGAGAACCACTGATTAACTTTTATTATTATTATTATTTTTTTGGTTTTTTTCTGGTACCGGGAACCGAACTCACGACCTTGCGCTTGCCAGGCAGGCGCTTTGCCACTGAGCTAAATCCCCAGCCCCTAATTTTTAAAAATAATTTTTGTTTCGATATGTGGATGAGTAGTAACAAGTTAGGGTCTGAAAACTAACTTTATTATTATTATTATTATTTTTTTTTTCCAGTACCAGGAATTGAACTCATGACGTTGTGCTTGGCAGGCAGGTGCTGTGCCGCTGAGCTAAATCCCCAGCCCCTGAAAACTAACTTTAAAAAAAGAAGCCTTAGCTTGTATGGTATGGCCCGGGCCTGTAATCTCAGCACTCTGGGAAGCTGAGGCAGGGAGTCTAGATTTCGAACCCATCCTGGACAACTTTGTGACTTAGTGAGATCCTGTCTGAAAACAGGAAAATAGGGGAGTGGTATAGCTCATCCTGAAGGCCCTAAATTCAGTCCTAACTACTGGGAATGGGTGTTGAAGCCTCTCCCTGCTGAAGTCATCCTAACTTTATAGGCCTCTGGTTAAGAATGATTCCAGGGCAGAGCCGATTGTGGTGGCACTGGGATCCTGAGGGGGGGGATCTGCTGCAAGTTTTAGGCCAGTATGAATTATAGCGAGACCCTGTCTAAAAATAAGACTTCAGGGCAAAATGACAGTGGTTTGATGCAGAGTGGGCATTAACTGGTTATAGGTCAATGTGGAAAAACCAGATATTTGAGCAGCTAACTTGGTTATACCAAGTCCTGCTTTTGAAGCTGTTGAGGCTAAAATTGAATTGGCACGCTTCTTTCCAATGGGGAGTACATGACTTACTATTAAAGAGAATGTTCTTTTTTTTTGGTACCGGGAATCAGGACCTTGCATTTGCTAGACAGGCACTTGTGACACTGAGCTGTATTCCCACCCCCTAAAGAGAATGTTTAGTGATGGGACATTAATAGTGAGATTGATGGAGTGGGTGAGATTTCCACATCTGTTAGATAGCAGGTCATAGGACCAGAGAAAAGTGGCTTCAGGTTTTTTCCTTCTCCTTGGGGAAGCACTTAGAATGGTCCAGTGTTTGACATACTGTTGCAGACTTTCCTGTAGTACACCCTCTGCTAAGACCAGGCTGTCCTAAGCCCTGGTAATGAAATTATTTACCTTTTTAAATGAGAAGGGTGAGAAAGTACCAAAACCTGCATGTGTTTTGTGCTCAGGCAGACATGGAGGGTGCATGCTGTGAGACCTAAAGTTCCCGTGCAGTTGTCCTAAGAAACATGTCAGCAGGGCCTGTCCTGATTCTGTATGCTAAGCCTGTCCATGACAGGACCAACCCTGCTTTCCTTACTGAGGAGCAGAGAATGGTGGGAAAGTGTTGAAGGCATAAGCACAGTGTCAGCTAAATAAAACAAGAAAGCTTTTTTTTGAGTAATAAGAGATCAAACAAGTAGAATAATGTAAAATAAAAGTGGCTTCAGGAAAAGAAAGAACTCATGGTGATTCACTGTTGGTTTAGAAAGGTATCATTTGCATTTCTTTTGACAGCATTGAGTTTATTAAATCTACCTCTGCTGCTGGTACAGATCTGGATTTAATAGGAAACTTGAAATTTGGATGCTTATCAGTTGTTCTGATTGTTGGGAAAGGAAATCTTGTACTTGGTGGTGGTGCTGAGGTTTTTAACTTTTCTGGTTTTTTTGTTTGTTTGTTGGAAGACAATGAAGGAAGCCAGTTTGTCTGGAGAACAGAGATTGTAGGAGATTATGTTGAAGGATTAGGTGGATGCTGGAGCTCCAGATATCAGGCCAAAGAATTTGGACTATAGGTTATAAGAGAGCATCTGAAATTTTTTTTTGAGTAAAGAAGACTTAAAATTGTTGTTAGTATGTAGGATGAATTGGAAAGGGGAGATCTTTAGTTTGATTACCTAGTTTCTTTTTGGTAGTTTATTTTCTGTTTGTATTAATTTAGTGTATGCTCTTTGAAAATAGTACATTTAAACCAACTGAGGTGTCTTAGGTGTGTGGGTTTTTTTTTGTTTGTTTGTTTCTTTTTTTGAGACAAGGTCTCGCTATGCAGTTCAGGCTGGCCTTGAGCTCACTTTGTAGCCCAGGCTGGTCTTGAACTCAGAACGATCCTCCTGCCTCAGCCTCCTGAGTGCTGGGATTATGGTTGTGTACCACCATACCCGGCTTAAACCAATTTAGAATGCTGCCTCATTTTTAAAAAGCCCAGTAGTATGAAGATGATCTTTTTTTTTTTTCCTTTATGGCTGAAAGACTTACTTAAGATTTCAGGAAGACTTAGTCAAGATTTTCAGGAAAATTGCTAGCACAAGATGTATATGTATATATACAAGAGGTATATGTCACATCATAGTATTTTTTTAAATCAGTAGTAATAGTATAGTATAGTGTAGTATAGTAGAGTAGTCCTTAAAAAGACTTCTGAGACTGAAAATTTTTCTTCCAGACAAGTATCGAACATCCTCAGTTGACTTTGTATCTTACGGTTAGATATCATTATAGGAAGACAGCTGTCCCTTTTTGAGAGTAACATTTAAGTGTTGGCAGCTTTAGTTCCTTTTTTTACCTAGTTTAAATCTGTGCTCATTTAAAGTGCTATTTAGGAGAGAGAAGTGGAAACAGTAAGGCTGTCTTTAAATCTTGAAATCAGTTTTTTTTTTTGTGTGTGTATGTGTTTCTTTGATGGTGCTAGGGATCAAACCAGCGGCCTCACACATGCTAGGCAAACACTGTACACTGAACTATATTGTCAATTCTTGAAATTAGTTGTCACTTTTCAACTTTCATCTGTTCTCTATGAAGCAATTTTGGCTTTTAAAATTAAAAGGTTTTGTAATTAGTCTACAAATCCAACAGGAGTTTGAATTTGAAAGGCAGGTGGACTTAACCGAGGATGTTTTCTATCCTAATGGAGGTGTTGGGGTCCAGCATTTCTTTTGGACTTTTCTATCAGATTTATGATAACAGCAGTCCTAACTGCTGTCTAGGAGACTGGAAGTGTGCCATCCTTGCGCTTGGTTGTCCCATTTCTAAATATCTTCATTTGCATTGCTACCTCTTCATCCTCAGTGTCCCAGGCTCTCAGAAATCTTGTCTAGGCTTCTGTAGTCTTCCTCACTGGCCTTCAGCCTCTGGTGTGTCTCTTCTAGTCCATGTTCCAGTGGTTTGCAGGTTTGCATGCTTGATTTCACTTGCAAATCTGATTATGTCACTCCCCACATCTCTCTGGTTCTCAAAATAAGGTTAACACATTTATGTGGCACACAGGTTCCTGCACAGTCTGGGC